ACACACACACACACAACACACACACACACACACACACACACATATATATATATATATATGTATATATTTTCATATATATATATATATAAATATATATATATTGTAGAATCATAAGCGAATAGCTCAGAATCACAGATTTATACAGATGTGTTCAGATGTGTCTAGCTAAATTTGAAGATAGCTTCTTATATGTACAAGCATAAGAAAATCATTTTTTGATTATATAACTATATGAGAAAAATACGAAGAGTAAGCCAGTATACGGATATAGTAGGTCCGTATTCTAATACACAACAATCGGCACAATCCTATATAAGTGCACAGACGACAAAGGTTGAATCTCCCAACAAAATACATACCACGGTATAGTTCCAAACGAAGACTTGTATGTGCATTCAAACCATATAAAAGTTTATCACTATCGTACATATATCTGACTGACTGTCGATTCTCACCTCGTTCGGCACAATCCTATATAGGTGCACAGACGACAACGGTTAAATCTCGTAAGGACACACATACCTCGGTATAATTTCAAACGAAGACTTGTATGTGCACTCAACGCATATAAATGTATATCACTATCCTACATACATCTGACTGACTGTCGACTCTCATCACGTTCTCGTCTGACTTCTTTGACCGCATGGCTCTTATTCGCTTGCATGGCGGTACCGTCGCCTAACCCACTACGCCTGATAGTTGGAGGCCCAGTCCTGATTACTGTGGCCGAGGGAACCTCATTCTCGCCCATCCCCAGCATTTGCTTCTGAGCACGGAGAAGATCATCTTCTGTCTCCCCTTTGGAGGGTCTTTGCAGACCTCTGCTCTGCATTTATATATATAGGTGCGTATGTACTCGTTGGTCTATAACCGTGCTACCTTGATATAACAGTCTACTGATCGAGATACTGCCCTGTGTGCGCGGGTATTGATATGTGCAACGTACGGACAGCTTGATACCCACAATCCTAACTTTAGACAAGTGTATATGAAGCGAAGCAGACTACTACTACTACTAGAGAGAGCGGTATTATCCAATATGTACATATTTTTAGCTAAAAAATATACAAACACACAAACACATAATCAATCTAAACAAAAATATGATGACAGGGAAATTCACGTGCCGAGTTGTCATCAATAATCACATATCAGAAAATCAGAACCCAAAACCCCTAAACCCTAACCTAAAAAATACTCACTTGCGACAACGTACACTTTTAAGTTGGTCTGTGTGCACGCATGTATTTAATGTATGTATGTATGCATGTATGTATGTATGTATGTAATTATGTATATATGTACGTGCCATATATGTATGTATGTATGTATGCATTTATGTATATATGTATGTATGCATGTATGTATCTACGTTTATTTGTATGTATGTATGTGATTTTCTATGCACGTAGGTAAACACACACACATACACACACACATACACGCATACACACACACACACACACACACTACAC